TCTCCAAAACGAGGGTTTCGTACGAGACTTCCTCCAAAAGTGAAGCGGCAAGTCTCCAAAACGAGCGTTTCGTACAAGACTTCCTCCAAAAGTGAAGCGCCCAGTCTCCAAAACGCACCCTCGCCTGCATTTCGCACCCTCGACACGCACGATCTCCGCAGAGGTTGCGCGCGCATGGGACAAATCGCTGCATTTCGCGCACTCGATCTCCGCAGAGGGTTGCGCGCACATGGGACAAATCGCACTCTTGCCTGCATTTCGCGCACTCGACACGCACGATTTTTGCAGAGGGTTGCGCGCGCATGGGACAAATCGCGCCCTCGCCTGTATTTCGCGCACTTGACACGCAAGATCTCCGCAGAGGGTTGCGCGCACATGGGACAAATCGCACTCTCGCCTGCATTTCGCCCGCTCGACACGCACGATCTCCGCAGAGGGTTGCGCCGATACCGGACAAATCGCACTCTCGCCTGCATTTCGCGCACTCGACACGCACGATCTCCGCAGAGGGTCGCGCGGGCACCGGACAAGTCGCACTCTCGCCTGCATTTCGCGCACTCCACACGCACGATCTCCGCATTGCATTTTCGGATGACGCTGTTCGTCCCACCCTCCGCCTTCAAAGAGAAGTTAAAAAGTGGGGGAATGTTTTTCATTAGGATATCTCCCGTGAAAGTTTTTCATGCTTCTGCTTGCACTTGCACACTTACACTTGCGTTCTTACACTTGGATACTTACACTTGCACACTTGCACTTGGATGCTCCACTTGCAAACTTTCACTTGGATACTTCAGTGCCATCGTAAAGTATAGAAGTGTAAGTGTTCAAGAGATTTTCCGGAAGAGCCCTTGGCAGTGCTTTCGGGAAAAAGGAGCGGAGTTCAACCATCTTCAAAGCCACGAAGTCGACGAAGAATCGATCGACGAGCACTGAAAGCCGCGCAGGAGGTCGCTGGCCTTCTTTGTGGCTGGTCGAGGGCTTCTCGCGGTGCAGCAGAGGAGCTGGACTTTGAACAGCCAAGTGGCTGAAGGGGTGGGAAAGGTGGGATGGCTTAATTTTTTCTTTGGGTGGCTGGTAAGTGCAGTCGAGGATGTTGGCCAACCAAGGATGACAGTTTTTCATGATTTTCAAGCTGTCCACGTTTCACACGGATCACCGATTTGGATGGTTCTCTTGTTTGGTGTAAAGAAGCTCCAAAGCTTCAGAAACAGAAGAGGAAAGGACTCCAAACATTTTTTAAGCTGGAAAGAAGGGAACTCTAAATCTGTGAGGGGAGCCGAATGGTGCCGCTTCCTCTCGTGGATCCCCCACCTGCGGATGTGCGGCCGACCACGCCAAGGCTGCTGCCGTGGCTCCAAGCTGCCCCGAAGAGCGTGCCACTGGCGCGGCTTCGTGGGGCCTCGGTGCCTCGACTCGAACGCGTTTCGTCCGCGTCGTGTGGCCCTTCGTGTGGCGCGGAAGGTCGGACTTGGGAGGGTTTTGATGGTTTTTGATGGTTTTTGGGGCCGATCACGGACCGCACGGATCCGGTTTTGTGACGAGAAAGGTTGCTGAAAGGAGAGAAACACCGAGGAAATTGGTGGGTCCAGGCGGCACCATGGTGGCACAAGAACATATAAGTCATATAAGATCAGACAAATAATCAATCAATTGTACGTGATTCCACTGATGATGATCCTGCAGGGAATTCATGACGGCATCTTCCCGCCGCACCGGCATTCATAGACCTAACCCTTTTTTTGGTCAATATCGTTGATTCAGGTTTGAAACAACGTTTAGATTTGCTCAAGTCTTGATTCCTTTCAATATTAACAACCATGGAGTCCATGGAGGAACTATCAGACACTTGGCACCCAAAGGAAGAGCAGTTTTTTTCAGCCCTGAGTTTTCAACGTCAGGTGTTCTCGGCCCCGGAGCAATATGTGAGCCTCTACACTGGTGAGGCTGATGGGGATTGAGGCTGTGAGATTCGACCTTCACTCACCACTCACTCCTGAGTTGGTCGGTTACAGCTCCAATCACCACGAGCAGCACTTCCTCAGCGGCAAGCATCGATGGATTCCTCCATTAGAATAGTAGCTTATTGTTTCTACGTTCGCTTCTTGTTACTACCAGTAAGGCACTTGTTCCTACTAGCGATGCACTTGTTCCTCTCACTTGAAAGTGGTGCAACGGAAGATCGAACAGCAGTTGTTGGTGCTTTTGAGGTGCCAGTGAAGGTACACGTTGATCCAAGGCTCTTCCAAAAGAACGGGTCAACACAAGAACAAGGGTAGCGGTCAAGCTCCGAGCGATAGATCTTACACTCCAGCTGGACAGTCTTTATGCTGGCATAGGTTCCATCAGTCACATGTTTTGGCCTCACAGAATTGGCCACGAAGTAAAGAACCCAGGTTGACCTTTGTTGAATGTTCACCAGGGAGCCTTTATTCGTCCAAAACCAACTCAAGGAGGCATTGAGAAGCTATTCTAGGAATCTCTCCACAAGAACGTGATGATTGGGGCGTTCTTCGTGGAAGCTGAACTGGAAAGTTCCTGGTTTAAGGATGTTTAGAGAAAGCCGGGCTTCAGATCGAAGGTTAATGGGAGCCTCGTGATGTTGAGATCCATTCATTTGGCTCTATTTTATCGTTGAAGACACATTAATTGATACTAATTGTCTAAACATGAGTCTCAGCTGGTTTGTGGCAGCAGCAGCATCAGCAGTAGAAGTTGAAGCAGACAACATTTGCGGTTAGTACACACACCTTTATGCGGGTGGTGCCAACCTCCATATTCTATGATATTCTATGAAGAAATGAAGAGTATTGAGCTGGGCCTTCACTGTTGACTTCACTGCCGTGCCCAGAAAACTCTAGTTAAACCGTTCTCAAAATGTAGTCATCCTGAAGTAGGTAGAATGTTCAACATCTTCCCGGTTTGGTCAGACCGTCACCATTTTCTATGATTCTATGTACTTGACCATTTGCTTCTTCGCCCATTGCACGTGCTCTTCCGCACGATTCTCCACGGATGGCCTCGTCCTCGAGTCACGAGAACCCGGAGTGGACTGGGCAGGACGTCAGGCCGGCAGCGTAGGAGTTGTGGCCACGAGGCATAGAGGAAGACAGAGGAAGATGCATTGTGATGGTTCTTAGCACTTTTTCAACCAGAACATCTAGAGGAGCAGTTGCAGGAGGGAGGTTTCCTCTACTGTTTCCTCGTAGGCGAAGGACACTGTTTTTCCACCAGCTCTCTGAGCGGCGGCACTCCTGGCCGTGGGCTGAACCCGAGCCCTGCCATTTGCGTCACCAGGCCCCTCTCTTCCGAGCTGGATCAGGCGGACGAAGCGTCCAAAGCCGAGCTCGCCGTCGCCCGGACCAAGGCCCGTGGCTTGGAACTCCAGGCGCGCGCGGGCGGTCCAAACAGACGGGGGAAGTCGAGTTGCTCGGTACAGGACTGTTTGCAGCACTGCTCGTGTTCTGAGGCGCCCATCATTGAAGTCCAGACTTGCTGCCCTGTCAGCTACCCCTTCTTTCCCTGCGTGCAGGACGTGAGTGTGTTTAACACTACTCACGGGCGGCGCGACGACTCGGCGTGACGGCGGTGACGACTCGGGGTGATTGAAATTCCTCGCTTTTGGAGTTTGGGGAGTTTGTTGCAAAGTGCCAGCGGACGAAGCGGGTTTGTTGCAAGGCTGAGCAGCCCTACAGGTATCGCACAAGGCCACCGTCTTGGACATACAATTGGCGACCTGGGTCAAAACCAGTGGAGCGAGCGGTTGACCTGTCCAAATGAACATCATGGACCTGGATGATCAGGGAGGTCAACCAGATCCAGGTTGCGACCCACACCCAAATAGGTACAGGATTCTTATGAATTCTTGTTTCTACGTTCGCTTCTTGTTACTACTAGTAAGGCACTTGTTACTAGAAGCGATGCACTTGTTCCTAGTAGCTTTTGTTGTCGAGGACCTTGGAGGCTCATGAAGCTCCAGAGTGCCAGAGGTCCAACTCGCCTTTCGGATGGGTGAAGGAACCGCCACAGGCTCCGAACCGCCACAGGCAAATGAGTGCAAATGAACGGAGTACCTTGTTTCGTCTCTCACACACAAAACTTTTTCCCAGGGGATCTCCTGTAGGCACCCTGAAAGCAAAGAAGCGAGGAGAAACAATGACCCAACAACAGGTAGGCAACGATAACGAACAAGATAAGCAGCAAAGTTGAGAGAAGGAGCTCAAGACAAGATGAAGAGGCTGGAAGCACGAAGCTCATGCCAGGATGCCATATTCTTTTCCGCAATGTGTCTCTTTTGTGTTGGGTCCATCCCTGTGCTGTCAGCTCTTTCATGCCCGGATTGATGTTTTACGTCTTCAAGTGCTCAGAGTCGCGAGCTTGACGTACATCCACCACAAACAACAACGACTCACCGACTCGCCAAAAACCCTTGCAGCCGAGATGAGAGGTTGCGACTAACTCGACCCTTTTAACCTGCCACGTTCGCTTCCGTGACTCACACTGACCGCGGCCGATGTTAGGTGAGTAGGCCGAACCAGCCATTTGAGCCGAGAGGAGCAAAAATCAGCAGCTGTGAGGGCCATGGCTTGTACCACTTAATTATGTTATTTGAAGTTATGTGCGACAAAATCCTTGGCTGTGAGTTGTGTTTTTTGAAGTCTTCCTAAGTTCTGTCTATAGGTCATCATTGAATACCGTGTGTTTGTGTGTGTGTGGACGCCGGCAGAACGACGGAGGGCGGCAGCTCGTCCCGGAGCATGCATCGAAAGCTACACAGACATACCAGACTTTTCAGTGAATCAAGAGTCTTACAGTTTGCTGGCATTTCCATTGCTTTGAGGCGCATGCCCAGAAAGGCCATCCCCTACATGATCACATGGATCGGCACCGACACCGGCACAAAAAACCGTCTCTCTCTCTCTCTCTCTGTGTGTATGCCCACTCATGGAAAGCTGCCTCTACTCATGTGACGGGCTATGCACCTCACCTTTCGTAGAATAGAAAGCACCATCACAGAGCCCCCGCATGGGTCGAAATGCCACGCTCTTCTTCACAGCAACCTCGGACCTGAGGCACATGCAATCTCCTGCTTGACGCAGACCGCCATCATCGCGCTTTTGGACGCCCCCCCAAACACCAAGAACCACTGCGACCCTTCTTTTCGGACACCGCACGCCTCCGCCCGCTATGAGCTCCGGCGCTTCCCCATCTAAACACTCCGCCCAACGAGTGTCAGTGACGATCAGAAGCATCCTTCATAGCTTTTCGGAGCGCCGGGGACAGGAAGAAGTGCTGCACCTGATCTTCGGGAACGAGAAGATGGCCCTGGTCAGGCCAAGGGGGTCTAAGGCATCCAAATGAGAACCATGCCAACCCTCCCAAATACTTCCCAACCAGCACCCTCCAACATCCTCCAACAGGTCTCTTCTGGTGACTTTTGGAGACTGAAAAGGCAGAGGGTGACCTGTTGAACAATCCCGGAAGTAGGGTATCCAGGTGAGTCTCCACAGGTATCCTCCCAAAACGAAGACAATTCATCATGACAGCGGAAAGTCGGCGTAGGAGGAAGGTCCCACGCACTTAAAGAATACTTGAATACTTTGGTCCAGCCAGTGGCGATTAACTGTTGATTAGCGTTCAAAAAGTTTTATCCTTTTCATGCAGTTTCTGACGCAGTATTTGTAGCCCTCCCCCAACAGTGCGCATGAAGCCCCCCTGGCAATGTCTCTATGCACTGCCAGGATACCATGGTATGCGGCGCCATCCCATTTCCTCGATCAACCAGGGAGTCAATGGGAGTCCATGTTCGTTTGTTTGGGGGATTCACTGCAAAGACAGAGGACCATCCCTGCCACTGTCTGAAGGCCCCATCAAGGCCCATGTTGGTGAAGTGTGGACACCTTCAGGCTGCTATAGTCTTCCATGATCCTGAAAAAAGGCATGTTAGGAAGGCGATCCGTTGTCCGGATCTTCCTCCAAGGGGGGCGGGGCCTTGACCTCCCAGTTCGCGGGGTTCGAAGGCGTTTAGCGCCGGACTTGAAGGAAGGTTGGGTGCCGTGCCTGGGCGGGACGGGTGCGCGGAGGTTCGGGGAGGCCCCTGGGTGCAGGGACACCACGACTGAATTGGACTGCACAAGTCAAAAAGGAAAGGCCGAAGCAGGCGTGGAAGGCATTCCATGGGATTCCGGGATCCTTGTAGATGGGATCAAGTTGTGTTCGAACTCATCGGGAGCTGTTGCGAGGGGAACGAGCCCTTCGGAGAATCCAGTTCCTCCCCATTTCGTGGGAGCTGTTCGGAGAAGAAGCACCCGTTCGTTCCCCCCGTTCGCCGAGTGCGTCGACTTCAAGATAATAGCTCCTTCAGATGAGAAAAGTACCGAGGCTGGAGTCCCTGGGTCCAGTGCGTGCCTACGACTTCTTGGTGAAAGCATGGGCTCAGTATGGCCAAGCAGTAGGGCTGGTGGCAGAGCCAGTGGATCTCGACCACGCGCGCGTGCCTCGGTCGTCTTTGGTCGATGTTTGATGAGATTGACACCAGGTGTTTCGGTGGTGTTTCTGGCCGGTTTCAAAGGACATGGCGTTGAGATGCGTCTGGCACCATATGGCACCCGGGTTGCCACCTCCCATTGGTCCGTTGACAGACCCATAGGCGGGGCAGGGGGCTCTAGGCGGCAGGCGGCAGGCAGTGACGTTTTGGATCACCCTTTGTTACTAGTAGCTTCTTGCTCCTAGGAGTGAAGGCTTGTAGCAAGTCCAGGCTTTCTCTGGCGTTCCCCAGCTGAGGTCCTCGTGGTGATCCAGATCCTGGAGGACTCCATCCTGAGCGCGCCGCGGATCGCAAGAGTTTTCGATCGTTCAATTTTTTCAGTGGCCCAGATGGTCTCCTTGAGGTCCCTTGTTCAATGAAAGAACGGAATAAACCACCCTCCTCTCGTTCCACCGAGTGGAGCGGCCATCCCATCCTCTCTTTCGAAGACGCCGTCTTCCGCGCAAACCAATGGCACGTGGCGTTCCGTTACTGCCCGGCCGCCGAGGACTGGAACGCTCGATGCGCCGCGAGCTTCTGCCGAGATCGAGTGGTTCCCGGCGATGTGATCCTCTCGGTGAATGGTTTCCAGGGCCAGGACCGGGACCGCGCCGACGAGAACGACGAGACGGAAACGGCCACGAGAAAGGGGGCGGCCGATGACTGCGAGAAGCCATTTTTTTTGGGGGTGGTTCAGAGTTTCTTTGTGTTTTTGTGAAGAAGGAAGAACGTGTGTATGTATTTTCTTTATATGTAACAAAGTGGAGCAGCCGCGCTCGAATTGAACTAAGAAGTCCGGGACGGTCAATGATCACACAAATTTGACCATGTGAGGTGACATGGGTCAGGTATTTTGCAGGATTCTGCCGGGAAATGGTTTTCGGTTTTCAAGAAGAACCTTTGTCCTAGTGTTTTTTTCCCCCCAGCGCTTGTTAGATTCTGTTAGATAGTCTGTGAATACATATGCCTTGCCCTCTTGCAAATCTCCAGGGGTGAGGTAAGTAAATAGTAATTCTTTCGGTGTGTTCGGAGGAAAGCCGCATGTTCGGTCGATGAACTTCTCGGAACCAAATGAGTTGCAAAACATCGCTCATCCATGGAGTCCGTCTACTCCTTGGCCAAATGGAGTCACCGAGTCACTGCCTACTCGTGTTCTTGGCGCCTTGGCCTTGGCCGGTGAGGTGTGTCCTTCCAAACTGCGAAACGGGCAGAGCTCTCTCTCTCTCTCTGTGTGCAGAAGCGCGCTTCTGCGCGGCGCTTTAAACGCAGGAACACCAACACTCAACTGGGTCACCAACAGGTGTGGCGGTTCTGGCAGGAGAATCTGAGATAGGACAGATAGGATAGAGATGATTTTGGTTATCAAGAGTGGCACAGCTAAATACTTTGAAGATGACGATCCTTCTTGAGGATGAAGATCTTTGACGTCCTAAGGGGTTGTGAAAGATGGGCCGGATGGGGAGGGGTACCACGACTAGTCAGTGGCTCACTAGTCAGTGGTTCGTCCATAACTTGTCCTTGACCAAAGCCCTCCAGTCCTCAGCGCGCGTAAGGGTTGCAAGCTTGAGTGAGCCCTTGCGGTTGGGAGTAGCTGAGTAGCTCATTCTGGGGTCATCCTTGGATGGACAATTGGATCCCCTTGAAAATTTCCAACCGGTTCATGGCAGGACATGGTGCCTCCGCTCCGGCGCCCGCTGCATATCCTGGAGATGCACGTGCTGCGCCGGCCGGCACGGCCTTGGACCCAGGTGTTGGCGGCCTGCAAGAGGCGGAAGATGAACACTTTCCCAGGGTGGCCCTTGACTTGATAGATCGACTTGACAGACTCAGTACAGCTTTGATGTCGGTGCTTTCGAGACAAAACACCAAGTGAAAAGCGAGTGACGTTCGGTTGGCCACCCTGCCTAAACCCATGACGGCCTAAACACCTAAGCCTGTCACCTTCACGCGTTTTCAGAACGGTGCTGGGTTTTGTTCGGTCTGTTCGCTGTCTCACGCATAGAAGGGTGTCTGATCATGGACCTGGCGAAGCAACATTCAACTATCTGGACAAGAAAGATCATGGACTGGTCCGATTACCAGACACCCCCTGCAGACGTTTCTGAAGACAATTCCTTCAGAGTATTTTCCATGTTGGCATGGCGGCAGTCGCTGTGATAGTGTTCGAGGGATCGACTGGCGTGGCTTAAAAAGAGCGAGAACCCACGCAGACAAACAGGCTTCCTCAGAGAGCATTCCTAGTTTCATTTCATGTTGTCGGGTGCATGTCTTTCTGGTGCAGTGATCAACACCATTGTATAATATGTATATTTATATATATATATATAGCATTCCTTTTTCCCGAGCTTTTGGTGTAGCAAGGCAATCGACATAAAGATGTATCAGTAGTTTGGACCTCAAGGGATTATGGTCACATGGTTGTCTGGTCTTGGGTGCACTGGGCAACGACCTGGGCAACCAAAGTCGGGATTTAGGATCCATCACACCACATTTCGAGACTCCAACCTTTCACCAAGCCTCCCAGAATCTCCCTCTTCGCTGCCGAACATCTGTTCGAGTCAGAGAATGGTCTATGCACGCGAAAAGCACTCAAACAGCCCGGAACCCGAAACCTCTCTGGCAGGAGTTCGAAACTGCTTCCGTGGACCTCTACCGCTTGGGTGCCATCACCGCCTGCGCCCTGGGCACGGTGCAGCGGTGCCACGCTCGCCGAAGCCTCGCGACGGAGACGCTGCGGCGCCTCTGCCACCGGGCACTGGTGCATGGTGAGCGGACGCCGGAGGACGGGGGACGGGAGGAGGAAGAGGGGGGGGCCCTCTGCAAGAATGCAGGTACCGTAGAGTTGTTTTTGCGTTTGAACACCAAGGTGGAGCAGTTGAGCGACACAAGATAGAAATGTTTCCTTGAGATGGGGAAGGTGAGGTGAGGAACCAATCCGAAGTTCTTGGACCACGAACACGGAGCTGTTCACTTTCTTGGTTTTCCACTTGCTGGAGCTCCGCGAACAGAGAGTATGACAACTTTCGAACACATGCCATTTTTATAGGGAATTTACTGTACTCAAATGATCTAATTTTCTATCTGAGTACCGGCAGCCACAGCCAAGAAGTTTTCAAGCAGATCTGTGGGGGGGAGTTGTAGGCGTGTTACGATCGCCCCCCCAAATCAATTCTATTTGGAGTTCCATGGGTGTTCCGGTATTTTTTTCTCGATGGTGAATGACCTGAGTCAGGAGCTGGAACTCTTCCTCCACTCGCTGAAGGAGCTCTTGGAGCCCGAGGACCTCACCTTGCACGCCGGGGCCGAAGGCGAGCTCAAGCTGAAGGGCCAGAAGGAGCTGTGAAGAACTGACCAACTGACGTACCAAAGATAGGTGCAACAGTGCGTTTCTGTTGCCAAAGACAGTTTTGCTGAGAGTGTTTTGAGTTGCAGTAGAAGGGAAGCACGTGCTGGCCACAAATCCCTCCAGGGGACAACAAAAGGGCCCAGGTGGCTTGGAGCGTACCTAGCAATTTACCACAATTGACGCATTTTTCGAACTCACCCTTCCAACCATCGCTTCGCCCGTCCGGAGGCCTCGCCCACTGGCTCCAGGGGCTGCTGAGCCGCCCGGGGCTTCGGCCACGGTCGGCGCAGGAGGCACTGGACGCACTGCAGCAGGTGCAGCCGAGCCCGGGGGGTGTGGGGGAGTAGGAGCGACGCTACGAACGTAGCTCCTGGCATCGCTACGAACGGAACAAGGATGCTACAACGCCTACTAGTAAAGTTACGTACTAGTAGGTTGCACGCGGTGCGATGATCGTGGGGCCCGGGGGTTCTGGTTTGGCTGGTTGAGCTGGGAAGTTGCTGTGTGGTGGACGTTGGAATCAGCTCAAGAGAAACCGCACAAGGTGGTAAACTCTTGCGACAGATTCCGCTCTTGGAGTGGCTGGTGGTAGTGGGAAAGACCTGGGAGTTTGTGGAAAATGGGTGATGACTGTAGTGTTTTGTCAGGCTTAGCATGAAAGAAAGCGTGTTGGGTGCCATTTCTAGTTCTCAGGCCCAATGACCGTAGGTGGATGCTATACATCATAGAGGTCTCCAAATGGACAGTTTCACAGCATCCCAAAGAGATTCTAAGAGGTTTTCTTTGGATCTTTTGGATCTTTTTTTGATTGCCGCGTGTGTTTGTACAGAGCTCATGGGCAGGGCCTCGTATGCAAGACTTCCGGAGTTTTGCTGGTGCACGTCTTACACGTCCTGGTGAGACATTTTCGGACACGTCGACGCTTTCTGGGTCGAAAAAAGAACCACCAAACGGAGCGCTCCGCTGTTTCGTGTTTCTTTCGTTATAGATGGATGCTTGGCTCATGGCTTCCCGTTGCCGGCACCGACGGCTTCCCAGCTTGGTCCGGACACTCTGGACGCCCGCGCTCCAGGCCTGGGCAAGCGCGGAGCCCTCCTTGGCCGCGGCGCGCTGGAGGGTGGAGACGCCGGACCGGGAGCCGCACCAGCAGTCCTTGGTCGTGCCGCAGCAGCAGTCCTTGAAAGGGACGTCGTGCCGCGTTTTTCGTTGTTTTTTTGGGTTCGTTACCCTTTTAAAACCCAGCCAGGGGCGAAAAACGGGGTCTCCCTATTCAGATACACACCCATATTGAATCTTTGGGATCCTAGGGTCTTGCTTATATCTTCCAGAAAGCCTTGGTTTCTACCAACAGATGGGTTGCAGGGAGTTCGATTTGTATGAATAGAGATAGAGAAGTAAGTGTATAGAATGCATATATATATATATATGTGAAGACTATCTAAATGGATACCAGCATTTTCCATATTTGTCGGGAGTACTTGTGAGCGACTTTGCCATGAAGTCTGAACTAGCCCGAGTCTTATTAAACTTGCCATGAAGTCATCAAACAACAAGAGAATTTGAGAGAAGACCAAAAAACACATTCGCATCCTCACGACGGTCACGACGGACAACGGACCTCATGCAGTCGACCGAACCTCACCCTCCGAACGAACCCTCCGAGCGACCGAGGTGCTGCAAGAGCCGAAGCTTTTAGCGGGCATGGCGATTGTGTGAGGTGCCGTCGGCGCCGCCGGCGTGCGACTAGACTTGTCGGGGCTTCTGCTGCAGAAGGCAGATAGAGAAGACATTTTTGGTGTCCAAACGAGACTGCTTTGAAACAACAACCAAACTTGTAGCTAAGTCACCTGCTCGACTCTCAACTCTTGCTTCCTCAGTATCCTTTATACTGGAAAATGGTCTCTAGACAGGTTTGGAGACCATTTGCGGTGGTCTCGGAATCGGAGGTCTTCCTCAAGAACAATGGTTACTAGAGTAGTACAGTATACACAACTTTTTTGGTGAGCACACCTGCGATGGTACTTAGTGCTGCTCCACAACATTTTTGCTCCATGACAACCTTGCTTCCTGAGAGATACCAAGTCTCTGCAGTTTCAGAAGCAGTTTCCTTGAGGACCCAACAGCCAACTTGAGCAGGTGCCTCAGTTTCCATTTTCGCACAGTGGTCACACACACATGCAAACGTTTGTGTTGATGCTCCACCAGGGCTCAGGCTTGATGCTCCACCGCTGCTTTTTTTGCATCATCACGCAGTTTTCCTGGTTTCCAGTGTGAATCTTTGGATGTACATCAAAGCCAAGTATGAGTGTTTTGGTGCATCTACGTTTCCATATCCCTTACTTGGTGGGAGTCCAGTCTGCTGGGCCACTTCAGACATTGGTCTGGAGCGTTAACGAGCTAGCCTCAAGGATGAATGGAGTGGGCTCCTGGGAGGATACCCCGCATACAAGATGAAAAGTAGTCGATGAAGGAGTGTTAATTTGCGTACTTCTTCGAAGACTCACATTGTTTTGTGGATTTTAGCTCTTGTCCTTAGAGTAACTTCAACAACGAATTGTTCATACAGAAAACCTTGGTACCCTTCGAGTGGGGCACACTCCAACACTCTTGACAGTCGCAGTCTTTTTGGCGCCACGCCAGCGACCAAGCATCGCTCGGTGCTTTGTGCCAGCCCTGTGCCACAGATGTTGACTGAACTACTCATGAAAGCCCGGTGGCCAGATGAAAAAAGGTGCTGCCACAGCAAAGACCCGAGAAATACGGCGGAAGTCCAGGATTTTTAAAACTACTTTCTGTCATTTTTTTTGTCAACCAATTTTCGTTCTCATCTCCAACAATCAAACCATGCTTACAGTGAAGCCGGTTTGAGCAGTGGATCTTAGAGAGGTCCGAGGCGGGTCAGCAATTGACCGTCAAGTCACGTGTGCATCGCCCCTGAGGGGGCTGTTTCCGGAGTCCAACTGTTTGGGACTTGTGGAATGTAGAGACCCTCTCCAAAAAAGACTTGTCTCCTTTTGGACCCTCATATATCATCATACAATCTCATATATATATATATACACACACACATTGACACACATGGGGTCGTTCTTTATATGACTCTATGACGCTTGACACCCCAACTTGCCCACCCATGAATGACGGAGGGAGGGTCAATGACGTTGAGGTTTCCTCTGGTGGCTTTTGCAGACTTAACTTGCTAGTGGTATTTCTTGGGATTATTAAACGCACAGGTCCTCATCTTCTTCCTTCGCTTTCGTTGAAGCAATCCCTACAGCGACTTTCCTGGCGGTTTGCGGGCGCTGGCGAACGATGCCGTCGAGCCTTTGGCTTTTTTGCCAAGGTCATGTAGTGAGCTGCTGTCTCTGGAGGCACGAGGTCTTCAGTTGGAGTCACTGTATGTCACTGTTGACGATTCGAGGTAGAAGCCTCCCATATTTTAGGATCCTTATGACGACCCAC